AGGAAGAAGTGATTATTTTGCAGGTGGGACAGAGGGAGGTCAGGCCTGAAAAGTGAGGTTAAATTTCCCAAGACAGGTAAGGAGATAGGAAACAACGCATGCAGAGGACATAATTGTCCTGGGGAGCATCCATTCATCCATGTACCCGTTCAACACACACTTACCACCTTCACGTGTCAGGCACTGTGCCAGTGGCGAAAAATAGTCTCACCAAAACTATTCTACCTGCATGGATCTTATCATCTAATAGGAGACATAAATAGATGTATTTATGGACAAGTAAACAAACAAACCTATAAATATTAGCAGCAATAGGTACAACAAAGGAAGAAAGCCTGGTCAAAAAGAAGAAAGTGACAGGAGAAACAGACTTACATAGGACGGTTTGGAAAGGCTTCTTGAAAGCGTCAGTATTTAAGCTCAGACCTAAAGGAAAAGAAAAGGAAGATTCACATCCATGGTGAGAAGCGGGGTCCCAGCCATGGACAGGACCACACATGCACAGGCCGTGAGAAGAGTGTAGCGTGTCTGGATTGAAGGGCGTGTGACAGGAATGTGGACATACTGGCAAAAGGTAGTTCAGTGACCCTGGCCGGGTGGTTCAGTTGCTTGGAGCATTGACCCTGTACACCAAAATGTAGCGGTGTCAATTTGCAGTTAGGGTATATGCCTGAGTTGTGAGTTCAGTCCCTGGTTGGAGTGCATGTGGGAGGCAACCGATTGATATTCCTCTCTCGTATCAATGTTTCTCTCTCTCAAGTCAATGAACATATCCTCAGGTGAGAATTAAAAAATAAATAAAAAAATAAAATAAAATAAAATGTTAAATGGTTTGATATATTTCAGTAATTTTTCAGAAGAGCAAGCTACTGAGCCAGTGAATGGTTCCTGATTATATCTTGCCCATTATTTATTCTGTCACTGCATTGTCTGCCAGTCACTATGCTTCAGACGGACACTAAGAGCCCATCAGAGCTATTGCAGCAACATCCAGAACACGGGGCAGGTGAGTACAGTCGATCTCACACCTGGGCGTCACCAGCTGAGCCCATTCAGAGAAAGGCACTGGAAAAGATATCCCTGTCATAACACAAATCTAAACTACCGTATCTTACCATGTGTAATGTGCACGTTTTTGCCCAAATTTTTGAGGGGAAAATAAGGATCTGCATAATACATAGGTAAAACCTGGAATGCCTTGTATCTGTTCTTGCGTTTTGTAATGAGTTGTACTCAGTCATATGGTAATGAGTTGTACCATATTATGGTACAAGAAATTTAACTGCTAAGTAACTGCTAAAATTCTTTTATAATACAAAAAACAAGTATCTAAATATAAATAAATAAAAACTTGAATTAAAAATTTAAAATGAAAGATTTTTTTCCCTGAAAGTTTGGGCCAAAAACATGGGAGTGCATTATACACAGGGGTGCATTACACACAGCAAAATACGGTATGGAGCTTTGGCATTGTAGCCAGGCAGCCAGCAGTGAGGAAACAGATGCTGCAGGATGGGAAACTGGAGGCCCTTGTTATGCTTTGACTAGCCATGAGGTAAAATTAGCTGCAACATGGAGGGTAGACCTGTAGCAATGGGGAAAGTGGGTAGAAAAAAGAGAGTGATGATGCATTGGCTGCTCTTGGCTATTTTGTCCTAAAGGACTGTGAAAAATAGTTGAGGTGAGACAAGAACTACCGGCAGTTTACAAGCAGGTAGCACAGCTTGGTTACAGGAGCTGTGCCCGTGTCCTGAAACTCTACTGCTTCTGTTCTCCAACCAGCAGGTTGATTATTATTCAGTCTTTCTCAAGAGTCTCCGTTATGTATTACTGGTGAGACAATGGGAGTCAGCTCAGCAGAAAAGATAAGATAAAGTGTGCTGCTTCCCCACTTAAACTTCTTGTTCCAGAAGGCTTCAAGGTGAAGCCTTGACTGTGAGCATCACCCTTTGGCTGTGCTCACTTTCACATGAACTCACTGAAAGGAAATAGAGCAGAAACCTACCATGATTTTGATGAAATTTCATCACCGATGTTGTGGGCGCGTCTCAGATGGACTCCCCCCACCCCACAATTTGGTTTGGGTGTTTAGACCAATAACCACACACACACACCACAAGCGTATAAAGAGGTTTATTATTCACATAATGAGACTTTCTGGGGAGAGCAGGACAGGTCCCCAGGCCGATTCCAAAATGACTTGACTGGCTTGGCTTTATGGTTCTTAGGGTGTGAGGCTGGGGGAGGGTCCCTGCACACGGGCCAGAGCTTGTGTGCTTTGAACTTCCCAGCTGGGCCAAAGAAGGAGGCACCCAGGCTTTCCAATGAGCTTGCCCAGATGAGATTAGGGGAAAGAAAAGAGGAATGAAGAGGCTTGAAAACTATCAGCAGTCAAACATCAAAAATGGAGTTGGCATCGTCATCAGAGCTCAATGAACTATAACTCTGGCCTATAAAAGCCTATGTTTGTTCAGCTCCTAAGGAAATCTAGGTCTACAGGTCTGCACCAGCAGCAGCAGGGGTCTGTGAAAGCACTGATGCATCCTCCCTGCTTCCTCCAAGATTCAGATGTGGCTATGAATCTGATGAGCAAGCATTTCCAAAAAGTCAAATCACGGGCCACAGAGGACAATGGACAAGAGAGTTTCTCTCAGACAGCATGTGGCAAGGGATCTTTGTCAGCCCCGCTCAACTTTTCCTCATGGCATGGGCCATTGATGGCTATACATCATTCTTTTCTTTTAGCTGAGTCTTCATTCTCCCCTTTTTCCTTTTAGTAATAGAAACTTTACCCTGGAGTTTTAGTAGGACATGTGTCCATCTAGTTGGACATATCTCAGCTTTGCTTGAAGCTAGGTATACCTATGTGGTAAGTAGCTATGGACTGAGTAGAAGTGATGGCTAAAACTTCCTTAAAAGGAAATAGCTTGCTCCCAACTTCCTCTTTTTATAGGCTGCACAATGGATGTGCTCCTTTGAGCCAGCTTTGACCATTACCCTTGGGAATGAGAGAACAACAGGGAGATGAATCCTGAGACCCCTGGTTACCTTGTAAAACACAGCTGCCTTCACTTCTCAACTACTCTGGGTAGTTACGTGAAGGGAAAAATAAACTGTCTTATGTCAGTGATCATATTCTTGGGTCTTAGGTGTCTTCTCACTTATACAAAAAAAAAGAATTAAAATATTTCTTCTCACATACAAAAAAAAGAATTAAAATATTAAGAAGCTAACTTCTTTACCTTTTATGATCTTTAAAATGCCCTCTTCTTATTCCTTTAGGTTTTATCTTTAATTAGACAAGTATGAGTAGTCTCAAATTTAAGTGGCTTTAATTTAATTATATGTAACCTTGTGAATTCAGTGAGCTTCTTCTTTCCAAAACCCAGCCTATAAAAAAGTCATGTATATTCTTTGAGCCTAAATATAGGAATTTTGTTAATATAAATGAAAAATCCGATCTATATATAGCAATTTCCCCTTTTTCCAACACTAAATATGTGTCCGTGTGTTATTTTTATCTAGAGTCTGTAACCAATTAATCATAAATTATTGGATTAAAATAAAATGCATAGACATCAGGTCCTTCAAGGTGATGCCAAGATGATGACTTTCTAATTCCCATTTTCATATGACTCTGCTTCAGAATGGTTCACTGTGTTGCTAAGACAACAGGGATGCTGCCGCAGAAAACTGGGATTGAAGTCAAGGCACTGGAGCTGCCTCAAAAGATATCCTAAATAGTGTGTTCAAGGACTCTTTCACAGTGCAACCTATACCACTTGAATTAGAAAAAAATTACCATACTTATCCAGCACCTTTCCACCGAAGACTAGAGCTGGTATTTGCATTCTAAAATTAAGAAAACAGCCCTGGCCAGGTGGCTCAGTTGGTTGGAGCATTGTCCCATACACCAAAAGTCTGCAGGTTTGTTCCCAGTTGGGGCACATACCTAGGTTGTGGGTTAGATTCTTGGTTGGGGTGCATCTAGGAGGCAACTGGTTAATGTTTCTCACTCACATCAATGCTTTTCTCTTACTCTGCCCCCTACTCCCTTCCTCTCTTTCTAGAAATCAGTAAATATATCCTCAGGTAAGGATTAAAAAAATAATAATAAAATTAAGAAAACAGTGGTATGTGGATTAAAAGTCAGGAAATCATCATTTCACTAACACATGTGTTTCTTAGGACCTTGAGCAAATAACTGAGGAGGGTGCTTGTCCTTACACTCTAATTTGCCTCTCTTCAATGAACTTTTGATAAAGGCATAGAAAACTCAGCTGTGCTGTGAGCTGGGTAGCATCTCTAGGTTTGTCCAAGTAAACTGAACAGCATCAGCGATACTCTTGTTTTAATACAGGGAACATCAAAGCAAGGACAAAGAAAATCAAAATGAAATGTTTGAACAGATCTTGAGTATGTTTTCTGACTTAAGAAAAGATGAAAACAGCATTTGACTGAGCTGCAAGGTGACCTTCACATCATGTACATTCTATGGCACAAGGACAAAATCCATCCAAAATAAACATGAAGAGATGAATAAAGAAGTCCAGTGCTCTTAGAGCTAGGACTGGCCTTGTTCAGAATCCTTTCTTCTCCTAAATAATAAGGTGAAAAATAATTGACAGGCAAAGGCCAGTGTTGGAGGATATGTTTTCCCAGGCTTTGAGCGTCCCTGGTTGAGGCGTCACAGAAGTGAGTGGAGACTGAGCGAGCAGCGCAGTATCCCTTTTCCAAGCAGGAGTCCACCAATGCCCTTTAGTCCTGGAAACTGGGGATTACACAGTGAGGTCAAGGCTTGTGCAGGAATCCTCGTCTCCAAGTCAAAGTGTAGTCTAGCAGAATTGAATGAAACCCAAAAGACCTTTATTTTGAACCTTGGTGTTTTAAGGATAAAAAAGGGAATAGAAAAGAACACAGACCATTCTCTTTTAATATTTTTAAATACCATAAATCATAATGATTTGTATACTACACTGTACAATTATATACTGCTGCTTTCCAAATAAAATTAACATTTGATCAGATTTCCTAAAACTTACTCCATACAGCTAAGAGCTTGGCTCTTTAGCCATCCCTACAGCACATAGAATACAATCTATGAGGTTCCAAGTCTTCCACTTGTGCCTGTTGCTGCTGCCATTGAGGGAGGAGCCTCTCTGAGCTTCTCACAGCCCCTTCCATCTCCTGTGCCAGAAACAGGCTCTGCAGGTAGATGTGTGCCGACAGGTGCAGCTTCTGTGCTTTGCTTTCCACATGTTTACCGCCCTCTACGAGAACTTGCGCTTCTTCATGGCTTCTGCCTTGACTGCCAGGCTCTTGGCACAGATGGTCAGGACCACAATGAGAACGCCCACCACAAATGTCACCAGGGGCCAAAGGAAGCAATGCAGGAGGACAATCTCATCATGTGTGCGATGCAGAAGCACATCATCTGGTCTGTAAGACAATGGAAAATAGAGAAGTTAGAGTACTCAACAGCCTTGGCATGGTATTGAAGGCTTTTTACAACTTGGAGCCAACTTACTTTCTGGCACCATCGGAAAAGGAATAACCATCATTGAAAGTGAAGATGGCTGTGGAGTAGGGAGAAGCTACACTCACCTGCTCCCAACATCAAACTAGATTTACAGATAAAACTATAGAGCAACCTGAAAGCAACTGAAGGACAGATGAAGAAGAGTGTTATAAACAAGGATATATAGGAGAAGCCACATTGAGGCTGGTAGAAAGGGCAAAGATGTGGAAAGGGCTGGCCCCTGCACGCACGTCCAGTGGCTGAGAAGCTGAGGGGGTATCTTGGCTGCAAAAAGTCCCCCACGAGGAGCGTGTAGTCTCAACCCCATGCTGGGATACCCAACCCAGGGCCAGAAGGAGGAGCCTGTGTAGCATCTGGCTGTGAGAGTCAGCTGGGCCTCTGTCCACCTGGAAGAGGAGCGAGTCTGCTAAAAACTCAGGTACTCTCTTAAAGGGCCAATGCACAGGATCTTGCTCTTGGACACTCACCTGCGGATCCAGTAGAAGGAAGGTGACTCAGATCACAGAGAGTCATAAAGAGAAGATCTGGGAGGGGAGGCCCCAAGGAGACATATAGAGGGTCAGCCACTGAGGCCCCTGTGCTGAGTCACTGTTCCACACTGCCCTTGGGTGCTATCTTCCCAGGGTTGAGCACTCTTTTTCTTATAGCAGCAGCCTGGGGAATGAATTAAGCCAAGCCACTTACTACTGGTGACACCACCCTGCCAAGCTCAAGTCCTGAAGAGAGGTCTGTTGGCTGCACTGAACAGGGGCCTTTGGTACATTCTTTTTCTGGGGAAGCTCTAGGTGGACACTCAGACTGTCAATGAGCTGTGTGGCTTTGGTATGGGGGCCAGTATTGCTTCCTTCCTTCAGGCTAAACTCTGGGGTAGGGGATACTTCCCCCAGTTGAGTGCCTGACCGAGCTGCCCTCAAGCAGGAGACCCACCAGCGCCAGCCTCATGACCCTGGTTGCCTCACTGTACCGAGCTAGTGCTTTGTGGAGGGGTCTGCGGGGTGTGGCCAGCCTAGGCCCACTCTACAGTTTTTCTTCGGAAGGCTTTGGAGGAAAAGCAGGCAACCTCAAGGGGTAGCAGAGTAGCTGACAGGTAGAGGTGAACCTCAAAGAGTCTTGGACCCTTTACTGATCTGCCTCCAGCTCAGAGCCGGAGGAAGCTGACTGATACACACAGCTTGGCCCACCCAGGCACAGTAGATGCAGCCACAGAGAGTGAATAGAGTGGAGGCTCCAGGCAGGTAGCCCAAGTTCAGTTACACACAACGTCTGACATCAACATGTATCGAACACCCCATGTGGACCCAGAACCAACACAATCAGTGGTGGACTTCAGACTAGTGGCACAGTCAAAGGGGGATTCCAGCAGACACCAGACCCCCATACCTGGGAACAACTATGCCTCAGGCGGCAGCCCCGCACAGCTACTCATACACTGTGATCAAGGTCTATCCTTACAGTCCGCCAGTCTGAGGGGTTAACTCCACCCACAAAGGGGACAACAGCATTCAAGACTCAACTGCAACAGCAGGGCACACATAACCCACACAAGAGACATTTCTGGAGCACCTAGCTTAGGTGATCTGGAAGACCGCACCACTGAGCCCCTACACCATAAAGCCACCATAACAAGTTTGGGAGCCATAGCAGATCTATTTAACATACACAGACAAACACAGAAAGGCAGACAGAATGGGGAAACAGAGAAATATGCCCCAAATGAAGGAACAAAAGAAATCCCCAGGAAAAAAATGAAATGGAAGCAACCAAGATACCAGATTCAAAATTAAAAACACTGGTTATAAGGATGCTCGAGAACCTTAGGGGAAGAATGTATAATCTAAATGAGAGCTTAAACAAAGAGATAGTAAGCATTAAAAAATGTATTGAAACCATAAAAAAGAACCAGTCAGAAATGAAGAATACAATATCTGAAATGAAGAATACAGTGAAGGGATCAACAGCAGGTTAGATGAAGCAGAGGACTGAATCAGTGATTTAGAGGACAGGATAACAGAATTGCCTCCTTATTTTCTGTAGGATTTCCTTTTTGTCCTAGCAAAACATCTTTGCTATTTCCTTTCCAATTTTATTCTTTATCATGTACTTCCAAAGATTCTTGATCCTTCTTTACTCAGATCTTTCATGAAGCAGTGTCACAAGTAATTCTCCGCATTAATTTTAACCACAATCCTTTGCCATATCATGAACTTTTTCTCCATTAATTATTCTTCAAATATTTTTTTTTTAATTCTAAACTTAAAAACTGAAGTAGAACCCTGACTGGTGTGGCTCAGTTGGTTGGGCATCATCCTGCAAAGCAAAAAGTCACTGGTTTGATTCCAGTCAGCACATGCTGACTGGAACCCAGCACATGCATGAGTTGTCTGGGTATTGGGCTCAGTCCCTTGGTTGCAGCCCATGAGAGGCAACTGATTGATGCTTCTGCCACACATCAATGCTTCTCTCCCTTTATTTCTCCCTCTCTTTCCCTCTTCCTGAAAATAAATAAATAGACTTCTGGTCAAGATGGAGATGTAAGTAGACACATTTCGCCTCCTCACGCAACCACAAAAAGAATTAAAACTAAATCTCCAAACAAATAATACCCAGAACTGTCAGAAAATCGAACTGTATAGAAGTTTGATAACCAAGGATTTAAAGAAGCCACATTCATCCAGACAGGTACGAGGGGCAGACGTGTAGATACAGTGGGGAGAGGTGAGGAGATGCAGTGTGTGGAGCAGAGAGGCCATGGTGGCAATGGAATAAGCACGGGAGGTCCCACATTCACTTGTGGTGAATAAAAACTGGGAGAGATATCTTGGGAGCGAGCAATCCCAGTCCAAGGCCAGAGTGCACAGCCCAGGGTTCCAGCACCAGGAAAATAAATCCCTATAACTTCTGGCTGTAAAAATCAGTGGGGGTTGGGGTGGCAGGAAAAACAGCTGGATTTTCAGGAAACTTGGCTTAAAAGGCCCACAGAGTCTTAAAACATACACAAACCCACCCATTCTGAGATTCAAAACCAGGGCAACCGCTGGAAGGGTGCCAGTCACATATGGGGGGTGGGTGAAGTGACTGGAAACAGGGCAAGTGATGGGCAAACCTCCAGAAGCCAGGCAGTAGCACAGTCCCCTCTTCGAACCCTCCCCCCCGACAGAGCCACAAAGTGGTGGAGCAGGTTGCCCTGCCCAGGTGATTACCTAAGGCTCCACCCTACATAATTTACAGGTGCTTTTCACAGGGAGTCAAAGCAGTTCTACCTAATACACAGGACCAAACACAGGGAGGCTGCCAAATTGAGGAGACAAAGAAATATAGCCCAAATGAAAGAATAGAGCAAAACCGCAGAAAAAGAACCAAATGAAAAGGAGATAGTCAACCTATCAGATGCAAAGTTCCAAACACTGGTGATCAGGATGCTCAGAGAATTCACTGAGTACGGCAACAACATAAAGGAAGAAATGAAGGATACACTTCCTTCATTTGTGAAATAAAACAAAATAAAGAAAAAGCTACAGGGAAGCAACAGTTAAGGAAGGAAGCTGGGATTCAAATCGACAATTTAGAATATAGGAAAGAAATAAACATTCAACCAGAACAGAAAAAAGAAACAAGAATTCCAAAAAAAAACCCGAGGATAGTATAAGAAGACTCAGGTACATCTCCAAACGTGCCAACATCCAAACCATAGGGATGCCAGTAGGAATAGAGGAAGAGGAAGAAATTGGAAACTTATTCGAAGAAATAATGAAAGAAAACTTCCTTAATCTGATGAAAGTAATAGACATATTATAGACAAGTCCAGGAAGCGCAGAGAGTCCCAAACGAGTTGGACCCAAAGAGGACCACACCAAGACACATCATGATGAAAATGCCAAAGGTTAAAGACAAAGAGAGCATCATTTAACATCATTACATGAAATATTAAAGGAATTTATTTAAGAAAAAGAAGATCAAAACTATGAACATTAAAAAGTCAACAAAATTCATAACCATCCACTGCTACTAAATCTAAAAAAAGGCAAAACTAAGCAAACCAGAACAGGAAAAGAAAGATAGGTATGGAGATCATTTAGAAGGTTATCAGCTGGGAGGAGGAAGGGGGAGAAGGGGGAAAAAGGTGCCGGGGTTAAGAAGCATAATGGTAGGTACAAAACAGGGGGATGTTAAGAATAGTATAGGAAATGGAGAAGCCAAAGAACGTATATGCAAAACCCATTGATGTGAACTAAAGGGGGGGATTTCTGGAGGGAAGGGGGGTCCTGGGTGGAGGGGGAAAAGGAGAAAAAATTGAGACAACTGTAATAACATAATCAATAAAATATACTTAAAATAAAAAAATAAATAAATGAAATCTTTTTAAAAAATAAGGCAGAATTTCCACACAGAGAAATTCAGAGGTAGTGTGTGTTTGATCAGATCTTCATGTCATTTTAATATTGTTGATTTCTGATCCTCTTACTTCTATTTTATGAAAAACCAGTTTTACAATTTCTACCCAAACCATTATATTCTAGTGTTTAACAACTTGCATTCTTCGATATATTTATTTTTCTCACAAAAGTCAACACCGTAGTATTAAATCAGATTTTAGTCAGAAATGCAGATGTTTAAGGGTATGCCATATGTTCCCAAAAGAAGTCGCTAAGGACCCATTTTCCAACAGTGGAGTAATGCTTATTCCTGGAGAAACATCCTCAGAAAATGGAAATGTTGACAGTAATGCCTGAAATGTCCTTCTGTTTTCCATTCCGTATTTAGAGGAATTAATTCTTAAACATCAAACGGTGCTTTTGTTGTGATCGAACATGTCTGAGAATGTAGTGATACAAAAGGGACTCCCCAAAAAGCCAGGGGCTGGAAGGAACTAAAAACAACAGTACTATTTAAATCAGGACAT